GCACGTTTGACAAATCCACTGTCTCCTCCTGAAACATAGGAACAGAAACAGACGAACAGGCAGACACAAGACAAGACTCATGACATTGACTGCTCCATGACACGACAGTGCACTGCTGCCAATCCACACGGGGGTTGTGTTGAACGAGCCACGGGTGTCCGAGAACGATAGGTGCCAGGGGTGAGTCCATGATGTAAAATGACAGTCTTTCCGTGTGATTTCCAGAAGTGATGAGAGTGATGATCTCAGTGGTGAATTCGATAGTGGGGAGATCCTGACCGTTGAGTGCATTAACTGATATCTTGTGTGTGAGGGGTTTGATGGGAACATGAAACTTAAGTGCAAACGAATAATCCATAAAATTACCTTCGGCTCCCGAGTCCACCAGTGCACGACAGTCCTGGGTGTGAGTTGACCATCTAAGTCTTACCGGGAGGAGCGTAGATGTTGATGAGGTCTTCTCGGCGGAGATCCCACCCGATAGTAGCCTCATAGTTACTATCGGGCTTGGCCTTTTACCGGGCAGCTGTAAGCACGATGACCAGTCCCTCCACAGTAAAGGCATAGTCCTTGGGATCTCCGCCTCTCCTTCTCCTCCCGGGAAAGCCGAGCTCGCCCTACCTGCATGGGCTCATGATCGTAAGTGGCGCTGACCGCATCCGCTCCGCTGAAACGCTGACCCTCAGCAGCACTGGACAACCGACTGGGCAGAACTCTCCTCTCAGCTCTGGTCACACGAGCGTCAACTCTTAACGCCAGATCAATAAGTCCGTTGAGAGATGTGGGTAGCTCCAGCGTGTAAATCTCTCTCTGGATGCGGTCAGCCAGCTCATGCAGGAACATGTCCCACTGCGCCTCTTCGTTCCAGTGACACTCAGCCGCTAATGTCCTGAATTCGATGGAGAAATCGGATACGGACCTCTCTCCTTGACGTAAATCAGCAAGAATTCTAGCCGCTTCTCTCCCGGCCACCGCCCGATCAAAAACTCGCCTCATTTCAGCGGTGAGTGTCTGGAACGAAGAACAGCATGGATCCTGGTTCTCCCACACCGCCGTCCCCCATAGCGCCGCCTTCCCAGATAACAGCGTCAGGACAAACGCTACCTTCGACTGTTCAGTACTGAAGGTTCTGGGTTGAAGTGCAAAGTGCATGGAACACCGAGTGAGAAACGCCCTGCAGAAACTGGGCTCACCTGAATATAATTCGGGCACAGGTAGTCGAGGCTCCGTCTGGGAAGGATTCGCTGGTGGTGTGAGGGGAACAGGCGGCGTGGGGGGCGCAGTGGGGACACGCAAAAGTTGGAACTGCTGGGTGAGCTCGGACACCTGCGCTACTAGTGCTTGAACTGCTCTCCCTGTGTCGTTGATATTCTTCTCGCAGGACTCCATCCTCTGCATGCTGCTGTCGACAAAGTCTTGAAGAGACGCTGGCGATTCACCTGCTGCTTCCATAGGTGGTCAGATCGTTCTGTCACGACAATCACGGCAAGGAAGCAATATGCAAGTAACTCAGTTTATTAATAATATTGGTCAGAACAAGGAGAGACACAGGGTGTAGCGCAGGGACGTCGATGGCCAACAGAGTGAAGATGGAAGGTAGATGGTGAAGATGATGACTTGAGTGGTAATCCAGACACGGAGACGAAGACACGACCAGAATCAGGAACGAGAATCAAGGCACAAGAACGGGACGTCAACCGGAACTCAGGAACACACAACAAGAACACCAAACAACGATCTGACAAAGGAGAAGACAAAACAGTGAGTATAAATAGGTAAGTGAATGAGCTGCAGCTGGTGACAGAAAGTGAAACCAGCTGCGCGCTGATCAGCGTTGACGGGCTGACCACGCCCTCTACTCACACACCCACACACGTATAACAACAAAGACACGAGACACGAAGAACACAATGAATTCGTGAACCGTGACAAGGACTGTGAAAGGAAGCGTTACCTAATTTTTCTATGTGTATGCCAAAGATGGCGCTCCTGGACCACCAGGGTGGACATCGCTAAATCGATCGCGCAACCGGTACGCTCGTGCCCCAAAGGGCCGACTCGGTTGCGATGCGGAGCTCACTCAAGAGTGCACGGTCGAGGCTATCCCCGTGCATGTCCATGAGTGCCTTGGCCTGATAGACCTGTAGCAACGCCATGGCATGCAAAGAGGAAGCGGCTTGCCCACTGGCTTTGTAAGCTCTGCCCGCAAGAACAACGTTACAATCCCAGAGGCAGATAACACAGCCGAGTCATCATCTCCAGAGGCCAGCTCACCCTCCGATGCTGGAATCGGCATCCTTTCCTCTGGAGGGGCCCCAAATGAAACGGCTGGTCGGTCTATTACAGAGGGACCAGCACGCTCAACGGGGGACTCCACAGGCTGTGGTGTGATGGAGGAGTGAGGAGCCGACAGGGAATGGTTACAGGGCAGGTATTCCATCACTATCCTCCGATCACCTATCCCACACGGCACTCTAGGGTGGGGCATGGTAATGGGGACTCCACCTTGGCGGACGAAGGCGAGTCTTGATCTCAACACCAAGCCCGCAATGGGAACATGAACCATCCACAAAAGCTGCTTCAGCCCAAACACGTGATGCAACAATTGTGACCGTCAGAGGGGGACAGGGAATGACAGCATCCAGAAGCGCACGGGTGGAATGACATCTTGAAAAAGACGCAAACACACCTGTGTTGCTCTTTCAGGAAATGAAAAACTCTCAGCATTGCAGGAGCACACAGGGGAATAATCGCGGCAACACTGACAGGGATGGTGCAGCCTGTACCAGTGAAGAACTCACTTTCTTCGCCCTCAATAGGCCATCAGACAAACAAACACAAACACAATTGTGATGCTATTAAAAAAGCAGTTGAGAGCTCAGAAGGCTCACGACCACCGCTGCACTCGTGCTGTAGAACCACCAGCACGGGGAGAGACTTCTTGAAGAAGCGCCGACACACTCGCTCGTTGTAATATGACAACACTCTTCAGCAGAGGTGGACTCAAGTAAAAGTACTATTACTTCAATAAAATTGTACTTAAGTACAAGTAAAAGTACAGGTCTAAAAATCTACTCAAGTAAAAGTAAAAAGTAGCTAATTTAAAATTTACTCATAGTAAAAGTAGCTGAGTTACTTGTTTAACAGCGGGGGTGGGGGACTCTCCCATGTAGGGTTGTAACGGTATGAGAGTTTCAGAGTATGATAACCGTCTCAGAAAATATCACGGTTTATACAAACTGTATTATTAAATTATGGTTATTATTATCATCAGTTAAAATGACAGTTAAATAAAAGAAACATTTGTTCTCAAAAACGGTGGTAATCAAATAAAAGTTTAGCAAACATTTTATCCTTTTATTTTTTGGCAAAGTGCTGCAAAACAGATTTACTCAATTAAACCATGGACAAACAATATATATTCCTAAAATAATGTTTAGATAAATTGTAGTATTACTATTGTTGTTGTTAATATTATTATAAGAAGTACATTCTATTGTAGGCCTACAATAGTAATATATATCTGTCATAATTACTTCTAGTTAAACCGAACTTTTATTTTGACGGGTTGTGAAGTCCTGTTTCAGAGTGTATTTGACAATGGTTTTACTCAAATAAAAATATGAAAATGCTCATTAGGTGTTCTCTCTGGAAATGTTCATGTATTCATGTCCTCATATTGTTTGTGAGATGCTGAAAACACCATGAGCACGTTGCGTACATGAAGATCGATCGGCTCAGAAGCGAAAGACAACTGGTGCGTGCACCCACTTCCGTATTTATACCCGGGCCGCGGGGCGGAGTGTGAGATGCAGATCTTGCACGCCAATGTGCATTGGCTCGTTTTAACAGTACTTGAAGATGGCAGGCTCCCTAAGCGTGATCCCATTACGTCATGACAACGAATGGGGTTTCGCTTAACTTCGAGAATATAAAATGAGCCAATGGCAAGAAAATGCCATGGGTCTGCGGAATCTGCATAGCGTAACTCCGCCCCACCTCGTGGGTATAAAAGGAAGGACGCTGGCAACATGCAGATATGTTTCTTCGCTGAGGAGCCGAGACTGAACTCAGACGATTCCCGCGGTACAGCAGGGAGACGTAACTCAGGGAACGAGTTACGCTATGCGAGGGTTACATACGTAACCGAGACATTCCCTTTCGTAGTCACTACGAGTTATGCCGTGACGACGAATAGGGTTCCCAGTCTAATCCCGCCACCTCGGCTGTCTTCCAGTGCCCTGCGTAAGTCTGAGCTCCCTGTCGCTTCGTCAACCGAAAATGCCTGCAGGTCCCCTACCCTCTTGATGGAGGCCAAAGCAACCAGGAGCGCTGTCTTCATGGACAGGATCTTAAGCTCGGCTGATTGCAAAGGCTCAAAGGGAGCTCTCTACTGGGCAGATAAGACAACTGCAAGGTCCCAAGAGGGTACGAGGGGAGAGCGAGGTGAATTTAATCTCGTGGCTCCCCTCAGGAACCTGATGACCAGGTCATTCTTCCCCAAGGACTTACCCAGCTGGCATTTTAACGTTGATTCACCAGTGAATCAACGTCAGGGACCAAAGTTGAATCAACATTGAATTATGTTTTGATTTTGCAAATCGAATCAACGTTGATTTTGCGACGTTGTTTCACCGTTGACATCATTATGTTGTTTCACCGTTGATGTCGCGACGTTGTTTCACGGTCTCTTCTTTCAATATGGGTGAATAAAGGTTGTATATCGAAGTTGAACTAACGTTGAATTATGCTTCGATTTTTCAAATTGAATCAACGTTGCTATCATGACATTTTTTCACTGTCTTACCTTTCAACATGGGAGAATACAATTGTACATTCAATTACAATGTAGTTTGAATTTGGAACACGATCATGCCAGTGCTAACTGATTTAGTGATTAACTGTACATACTGTAGCCTACACTAAAAAATTGTTTAATGTCAAATGACTGACAGCAATGGCTTAATTACAAACACATTTAATAAAGAGTTAGCACATGCTCAAGATTGTAAAACAAGTTTTATTTTGGAAAACAAAACAAAAAAGTCTAAAAATACTTTCTACATCTCAAACTTTAACTTGCAGTGTTTTCAACGTAATGTTAAAGTAAAGTACAAATCTGAATGGAATATTTAAAAGACAGTTTTTGTTCAATTACAGTAAAACTTAGATGAAATACATTTAATATTTAAAATGTACAGTAACAGTAGAAAAAGCTTAGCATCTCAATAAAATGCGACAGCCTTGTGCATTGCTCTAGCAGAGTCCCAGCTCGCGGTCCGTTTCGATGCCAACGCTTCCTCTCGTTCCCTCTTCACTTCTTGTCCGCTCTCTGTACGATCCTGTAGCCTATAAATAAAAGCAAAAACAGTTAAAACTGATTACAAAATAATGTACAAGATTTTCACTTTACTGTTCAATTACAGTCGAGTTGAAAACAAAGTATACAACACTATCCATTCTAAAACACATATCTTATGTATTCAGATGTAAATTTACAATATCAACCATTATTCACAAGCAGTTCTTCAGAGCCCCAAGGTGGAATTGATTGCTGCTTAATATTAAACTGTGATTCATTTTTTCAGGATTCGTTGAAAGTTCAAGAGAAAAGCATTTAATTTAAAAATATATATTTTGCATTATTATAAATGTCTTTACTGTCACTTTTGATCAATTTAATGCATCCTTTCTGAAGAAAAGTATTTCTAATTTCTTAAAAAAAAAAAAATCATATTGACCCCAAACTTTTGAATGGTAGTGTACATTTTTATTAAATTGAGTAAAATCAAATCATATCACAAAAGGTCAATGAATCCACCAGAAGTGACAGCAGCTGAAGAAAAATCCTCCACCAAATTGCCAGGAATCATCTGGATCCTTGGTGAGTCTGGAAGGGGAAACAAGAAATGATTCACTTTTTTTTTTACCATTCCATAAACAATCTTAAAATGTATTTAATACTACAAACGTTTGCCATTATAACACATTCACACAACATGAACAGAGTACTGTCATCTTTGAGACTGTTAGTTATTACATGATTAAAATGTAAACGTACACTTAAAGCATGGCAATCCCATCAGAAAAATGTGTATCATAGAAAGGGAAGCACACAAAAAAGCCAATTGGTACACCAAAATCAAGCCATAATATAATGTTACCTGCAGCCTTTATCCTGTTATGACATGTCTGAGGGTCTTTCCCTTAATGTTTTCCAGTGAATTAAATAAAGGACTGATGAAGGTGACATGACCTTTCACTGCGCCACTTCAGAGGAAGAAAGACAAAAGTACAAAAAGTTACTCAGACTTTCTATCAGTAAATGTCTTACTTTGATGATGAGAATCATACTTAATACTTTATATTAATTCCAGTGTAGGTTTTCGAAAGAGTGGGTAAAATTAACAAACAAACAAAACAAAACAAAAACAACTTACTGTAGTTGGTGGATTTGTCTCTATTTGGGTGTTCTCCCCCCAAAAAAATCTTATTCCAATGCTTGACCTAAAAAATGTAAACAAATATAATCATTGGCAGTTATCAGTGTTCGAAGAGGTTATGTACTTCTAGTTCTAACGAATAAATTACGATTTTATCACTTTATTCATTCCGAGACTAATTACCTCTCATGCGTTTGAGCTAACACAAACCACCAACAACAACACACAGCAGTGTCAGATGGTAACGTTAAGATACATGAATAAGTGCTAATAATATCTCTAGCGCGCTTCACTAAAGCAGTACAAAAACACTCACAGAGGTAACTTATTTGCAGGCTGCATTAGGCCCATGTCCGTTACCAGTTTGTAAAACTATTGTGTACAGACAGTAAAAAAAAAAGAAGATAATGATCTTCATTAACGGGTGATTATCTGCTTATAGCATTATTTAATCTAACGTTACCCACAAACTAAATTTACACTCTATTCAACAGATTTCAATGTAACGTTAATACCTTTTAAACATGTATTGATATTTGTTAACATATTTATTTATCTAAAATGAAACTGTGGTAACGTACATACATTAAGGACAGGAACATAACGTTTAACGTTAACGTTAGACTGTTAAAGAATGAAAAATGTGTTCTCACCTGAAGTGATATCGCCAGTATTTTTACAGACCACGTAACGTTACAACCCCTTCCTCTGTTCACATTTCAAGTTTTGTCCTTCATTGACATATCACAACTCACATTCGCTCAAAATAAGAATTTAACAAGAATTTATAAAATAATCCGTGTCCGACCGGGTAATAATCAGCAGCTGCTCACCTCACACACCGACTCAAACAGTAACGGACTTATTTTCAAACTTAAAATAGGCGCGAATATTGTCATTGGCTAGTTTCCTGGAAGACAGAAAGATTAACCAATCATGATCAAAGTAAACCAGTGAAACAACCAATAACAGTAGTTTCAGCGTGGCAACGTAGTGAAATGTGTATAGTGTATTTAGTTTTATTTGCAGTCTGTATTTATTTAATTAATTGGTCAAATGGTGTTTTCATGACAGTGTATGAATAAAAAAAATTAATAATGCATGGTAAACTGTTAGGTAAGCACAAAGTATTGTAAATCCACACAAAATGACATAAAGCAAAAAGTTTCTGCTGCACTCTTGAGGTTGAAATTATTGGAGAGTTGTCTTGATGATAATAATTATATTTTAACATATTCATTGAAAGGCTGTATTATCAGAATATCATTAAATGCTAATAATGATCATAATAATACTTTATAAGGCAGATATTTCTGTTGTATGTTGTTGAAAACATTACGTTGTTTCAACGTACAGATCTTGTAAAAATTTCAACGTTGATTTAGAAGTGTTTTGTTAACATTTTTCAACCATTTAGCATTAAACGTTATATCAACGTTGTTTCAACGTTGAAACAACAACTGACATTATTTCAACCATATTTCAACGTTGAAGGTCGGTCATATGCCAGCTGGGTACCTTCAACTGCGTCATGATGTGTGGCGATAGCGGCAACATACACTTTGAGGGTGGAGGGAGACAGCCTTCACTCCAACCCTTCTTGTTTTTTTTGTTTTTTTTTTGTTTTTTTTTTTTTTTTTTTTTTTTTTTATTGCAAATTAACAAAGGAATAATACATACAAGGTAGTGAGACACATATACAATACATAAGAGAGAAAAAGCACAAAAACAAAACAAAAACAACAAAATACAAAACAGCCCAGTACAGTCATCGATAAAGTGGTGTATGTAGGGACATGAGATCCTTTCTGTGATGCAAGTATGGATAGGGACAGTCCGGTGGTATCAGTATAGTTTTAGTGAAGTATTAATTATCCCAACAATCACAACAACAACAGCAATATATTAATATTAGTGGTGATAGTATCAATGATAATATTTATAATGATAATTCATGACAATAATAGGAGCATTAGCTCTAGAAATCTATAATAATAGTAACAATAGTACTAATAACAATACATTTAGGTCAGTCAAAAAGATGTCACCGTACCTGCTCTAAACTCTAGGTCAGGGGGCTGATCCACAGCTGCCAGTGAGCACAACCAACAGACATCCCCACCCCCCTACCCACACAAACACCGACACCTCTCCTCTATTCAATAATCCGATTCCCCCTCACCGCCGCCAGCGACACCCAACCCCCGTAGTTATGTTTTAAGGCTCCATTGAGGTTTCCTCTAAAAAGTGCGCCGGGGCACCATAACAGGCACCTCCAAACCAAGCTCCCTTAGTTTGTTTGTGACCTGACATAACCAAATGTTATGGGTGGTTGGCCCTCTTGCCCCCTTTTTTTTTTTTTTTTTTTTTTTTCATGGCTTTGAGCAAGGTGTGCACTGGTTAGCTCCCCAGCCAGAGACACCACATCCAACCCAGGTATCAAATCAATATTATTCTTTAACATGAGGGAGGGATCTGGCCAGAGGCAGTGAAAGGGAGGGGCCAGTCAGTCCAATCACTAAGTCTGTAATGATTATGCCAACAGGATATGCCAGTTGTACCCACCACCAGCACCTAGAACAGACGCCCGACCCAGACCATTTATGTTTTGAACAAAATTTTATACATATTTATACGTAATATTTTCTGAATTGTCATTTATATAGAACGAGGGAGGAAGGGAAGACTAATCATTCTATAATAATAATAATAATAATAATGTCAATATCATCATCCCTACTACCACCATCTTTAATAAAAATAAAAATAGCAATAGTATGCAGAAATAAAATAAAAGTACAACTTATCGAACATATACAGGTATACATACATACACACACACATACATATACACACGCATGCATACATCTACACATATATACAAATATACATACACATACATACATACAAATAGATACATGTACCTACATATATATATTATATATATATATATATAAAGGACATCTATACTGAATAATTATAGTACTTGTACAGTAATACTCAGAGATTATTCATTATTTGTCTATAAACGTGTAGTTTGGAGAATGCGTTGGTCCGGTTCCAGGTTATTGATTTATATGAAGATAAGTTAGGAATGGTTTCCAGATATCAAGAAATGTAGATATAATATTCTTGTTAGTGTATGTTATTTTTTCTAATGTGATGTACTCTATTAGAAGATTTGTCCAGTGATTGATATGTATACAGTTCTTGGACTTCCAGTTTTGCAACTCCAACCCTTCTTGGAAAGCACAACGTTGAACGGGCATTTTCTGGGGTCTTCTCGGCGAGAAGAGCACCAGGTGACGAAGAGGTTCCATTTCCACTTCAAAGCATAGGCCTGTCGAGTGGACAGTGCTCTGCCAGAAGTGATAGTAGCCAGCTATCACCTTTGGTAGGGTACTCAAACCTATCTCGTCCCGTCCAGGGACCACACGTGAAGACGAGGGTGCCAGAGGGTGACCCGTCTCTGAGAAATTGGCCAGGGAGGTGCTGTCGTGAGGAGTACTAGTTTGGAGAACCAGGTCCGGGTTGGCCAATGAGGCGCAACCAAAGTTACCTGCTCCTCGTCCTCCCTGATCTTGCACCGGGTCTGTGCGAGAAGGTTCACTGGGGGAAACGCATACTTGCGGAGGCCCCACGGCCAGCTGTGCGCCAGTGCATCTGTGCCGAGCGTTCCCTCGGTCAGGGAATAAACAGTCTGCAGTTGGAAGAGTCGCGGGAGGCAAACCGATCTATCTGTGCGTCGCCAAACTGTTCCCAAATCAGCTGAACCGACTGGGGATGGAGTCGCCATTCTCCAGGAAGAGGCTGAAACCATGAGACCTCATCGGCTGCAGAATTCAGGATTCCCGTAATATAAATGGCTCGAAGCGACCTCAGATGCTTCTGACTCCATAGGAGGAGGTAGCGGGCGATATGCGACATACAGCAAAGAGCGTAGACCACCTTGTTGGTTGATGTACGCTACTGTTGCGGTATTGTCTGAGCGGACTAGTACGTGTTGGTTCTTGAGCAACGCAAGGAAGCAGTGCAGAGCAAGGTGTACTGCCAGTAACTCGAGGCAATTGACGTGCCAAAGGCGCTGGGGTCCTGTCCAGGAGCCCACGGCGGTATGTCCATTGCACATGGCACCCAAGCCTGTGGCGGAGGCATCTGTTGAGAAAACAACATGCCTGGAAACCGGTTCTAAGGGCACTCCGGCCCGTAGAAAACTGAGGTTCGACCACGGGGTGAAGGTCTGACGGCAGGTCGGAGTTACTGGTACTCGGAGCGTAGCGTGCCTTGTTGCCATGCCCACCTCGGGACTCGATTGCGAAGCCAGAGCTAAACGGTCTCATATGAAGCAGACGTGTGGCGTAGCGGTGGCTGCGGATGCCATATGCCCCATATGCCAAAGTTTGCTCTTCTCCCAGTTGACCCTTTTATTCTCCCAGTTGACCCTTCACTTAACTGATACCTTGATACTTCTAAATCTAATCACATTCAAGTAACATACGCACGCACAGCATATCTGATAAATGGAAGCTCTGAGGTGCCAGGCGATCTCATTATCATAAGAACCAATCAGAGCCGTTCAACAAAATTCTTGTGGGAATTTCAGTAGTACAAACGTATAATGGACAAAAGTGAACAACATATTAATTTTAAGTATGCTTGTTGCGGTGCTTAACAATAGTTGACAAATGTTTATAATACATTCTAAGTTTTGGTACATTGTAAATGTAAAAAATGTTTCTCAAAATATTAAAATGAGAAATACATAAATATTTAAAATATATTGCTGTAGGCCTAAGCGTTTATAAAGTACACATAATTTAAACCCACTAAAATCATTTTGCTATGTTCTTACACAAAGTAAGAGTAACTTAAGTTTTCTGTAAATACACTACAACTTCACTAAAAGTATGTTTGTGTTTAGCATATTTCTTAAAAGTGTAACTAAGCATATATTTATTACCAAAGTACTTTAATATATTTTTTAAAAAGTATACTATAAGTATGCTTGTGTTTAGCATATTTCTTAAAAGTGTAACTAAGCATATATTTATTATCAAAGTATTTATAGTACACTTTTTAGAAATATATTAAAAGTATGCTTGTTTTAAGCATTTTTCTTAAAAGTGCAACTAAGTATGTATTACCAATTGTACTTTTTAGAAATATATAAAAAATGCATTTCTATATATTTTTAATGCACTTCAAATAAGCATGTTGGAAATTCAAATGTATTATAAACATACTACTTGAATTTCAAGTATATTTTGAATACATTTAATACGACGTCTTTATCACCTGGGCAGAGCCGGATTAGTACCCCCAGGGACCCCTGGGCACCGAAGCTCATGGGCCCCACTCCCCTACCTGACAACCACACCCTCTAAAGGAGGCGATAAAAAATATAGTGACAACCAGAAAAGACAGCTGACCTTCGCACCACCAGACCCACTCCACAAATGCAAACACACACACACACACACACACACACACACAAGGGCCCACCGGGTGTTGGATTTGACATGCCAAATCACTATTGGTCAAAAACTGAATGACTAGTTCACAAGACACATACAATGCATATAATTATCCCAAGGCAGTATATGGCTCAAGAGACTATTTATATGGCAATATAGTGTTCACTTAAACTCACCAAATGGTGATGGTACCTGAGGTGCAGAGGTGGGTAGTATTCAAAAACTGTTCAAGTAGGCTACAAGTATCATAGGCCCATCTATCTATCTATCTATCTATCTATCTATCTATCTATCTATCTATCTATCTATCTATCATATTATTTAGATTTTGTTTTTATTTAAATTACTATTATCATTTAGGCTATCTTTACCACAAAAACAGAAGAGAC